AGTAACGGTTCACAGTCCTTTTCTCTACTCCAAATTCTGTTCTCATTCATGATGACTTCGTGATTGGCATTGTTGAATATTTGAAGTTCGTCCTGAAGTTCACCCTGAACTCCTATGAGCTCTATTTCTGGTCCCCTCAGTTACCCACCTAAGTGGTCTTACATCTGAGTCCTCGGGATAATCTGATATTGTTCCATCTACCAGAACAATCACAGAATCACAGAATGTCACAGTTAGAAGTGACCTCACTCGTTATCTAGTACCTTAATCCTTACTTTTAACTTTAATCCAAATGCTTAAAGAATTTCCTCAACACAACTGACAAATGGTCATCCAGCTTTTACTTGAAGACCTCCAGTGCAAGGGAATCCATTATTTTCCAAGGAAGTTTATTCCACTTTTGGACAACTCTAATAATACAGATAGAGTATGGAACCTAAAGTTAGGAAGACTCATTTTCATGATTTTCAATCTTGCCTCATACACTCAGACTCTGGACAAGTCACTTAACCCTGTTTGCCTTAGTTCCTCATCTGTAAAATGAGCTAGAGAAGGAAATTGCAAATCACTCCAGCATCTTTGCCAAAAAAACTCCAAAATGGGATCCTGAAGAGTTGGACATGATGGAAAATGGCTTAACAAAAATTATACAGATGTTATTTACTACATCAAGTCTGAATTTGCCCTCTTGGCTATCTTGAATCATGAAACTGAAATCTATTCATTCACAGACAGAATGTCCTTATCTCTGACTAATTTATCTTAAACCTTTTTTGGTCTTCACTAAAAAACTATGATACTTCAATTCTTTGCTGTTTTCCTAGTTCATAACTCCTGCTCTATCTTTAATTTCATTCTTTCACAACATTCACCTAATACAGATTAAGCAGGTTAAGTTACTGTCCTCTACTCTCAGGGCCCTCTTTTTTGTTAGTCCTTCCCTTTTCATGCTCTGACAACCTTCAACAATGTGTGCCACCCCTTGCATTCACCTTTTCTGTCCCTATTCTGAAGCCATTGAACATTGTTGAAGGAAGTTATAAAATCATGTGACCCAGAGCCACTGAAATTTTTCGTGTTACATTTAAATCTTTTTATACTTTTTTTGACTCCTTATCTCAAGCTCAACCAATATTTTCCTTCAAGGAAAATACCTCTACCTGATACCTCTAGTTAATGCTTTTATCCTCTTCAAATTACTCTACATTATTGATGTATCTATGTATATACTATCTTCTCCCACTCATAACCCCTAGAAAATAAACTCCTTGGGGTCAGAAATTTTATTTTGTTTGTATCTCCACAGAGAACACTATGGAATAGAGGGATAGATTGCTAAGCTTGAAGACAGGAAGACAAAGGGTCAAATGGACAAATCACTTAACCTCTATGTGTAACTTCCTAGGAATTCTCTACTAAATAATAGCCTGGTTGAATCAGGGCTGTTCCTACACTATGTCTCTATATTCTGATGAAATCAAAGATATTTTGTCTATTTCCCCAGTACCTAGCACAGAGTGCCTTACACAAAGACAGAACTTAATAAATTTTTAATTGAATTGAATCAAAGTCTAATTCCAGCCTGTCTCTTCCTCTCTTCTCAAATCATGACTTTGCATCCTTCTTTCCTGAGAAAACTGAGGTTATCCACTGTAAGCTTCCCATCATTCCTTCTTCAAAACTTATTTCATGGTCTCTACTGCCTTGGCTCTGGCTCTGTCCCTCATGCCTGGAATGCTTGCCTACTTCATCACTGCTTTTTATTACTCTTGGCTGCCTTCGGGACTCAGCTCAAACACTACCTTCTGTAGCAGATCTTTCCTGGTTCTCTCCAGCTGCTACTACCTTTACTCCACCAAATTTATTTTCTTTCTGTTTTGTATGCATCTTCACAGGTCATCTCCCCATTAGAATATAAATTCCTTGAGGACAAGGACTATTGTTTTGTTTCGTTTTGCTCTGTATCCCCAGGATTAGCAGTGTCTGGAATATGGAAATAATTTAATAAATGCTTGTTGATTAACCGATTCTACTGGTTCAATTATTATCTCTATGCAGATGACTCCTAAATCTCTATATCCAGTACTCATCTTTCTCTTAAATTTCAGTTCTGCACATTCAACTTCCTGTTCAATGTTTGCAACTGAATATCTCAATGAAATCTCAAATTAACATGTGTCTCATCCTCTCTCCCTCCAATCTAACTTCTTTTTCATCTTCCCTTCTTTTGTTTTGTGGTACCACCAAACTCCCATTCATTTATTAGTGTATACATCCATTCAACAAGCATTTATTAAGCATCTATTATGGGCCAGGTAGTAGGACAAGTCACCCAAGTTCAAACTCCAATTATCCTTGACACTTCTCTCATGTTTATCCCTCACATACACTGCCATATCCTTCTAATTATGCCTCAGAACCCTCAGAACTCCACTTCCAATGTCACCACCCTGATTATATCTTAGGCCCTTATCACATCTTGCTTGGACTACTATAATAGCCTCTTAACTGGTCTCCTTCCCTCCAATTGCTGCCTTCTATCTAGGAAAGTTTGCTTGTTTCTTTTTTTCATATTGTTATCAAGGATACCCTTGATACATGTATAGGGCACTCACTCAAAGGTTAGTCTTTATCTTTCATGTATTCCCAACATGATCTTTCTACTCTAGCCAGAGTAATTCCCTTCATAGTCCCTTGAACACATGTGGCTCAGTCTACCACTTTTGCTCATGATATGCCTAACCTCAAAAACCATCTTCTATTCTTTGTTTTTTTTCTATCTAAATTCTGACTATTTCTCAATGCAATTTCCATGAGATTCTGTACCACATAATTATTAAATGTTTCACATATAGATGTTTTCATAGGATCACAGATGATCTCTAAGGTCTATTCCTATTACAGATCTATGATCTTTCTGTTGTACATCTATGACCTTAAGATTCATAAGAGATTGGCAGCCATTGAAGGTTTTCGAACAGGGGAATCATTTGATCAAAGTTGTGCAATGGGAAAATTAACCTGACATTGTACATGAAATGTATTATGGGGGAAAGACTAGAGGTGGATTAAGCAGTATGGATTTATTGTGGATTTAGTCAATATAATTTTATGACATTCTTTAACAACATATGGATGCTGAAAATGGGAATAGAGAAAGTGGGATATAACCCAAGATTAGGGTGACTGATCTGATTAAGTTTAGGAGTGAGCAAAAGCAAGAGTATAGGTGTATAAATAATAGAACAAGAAGGTTTAAAAAATGACAGAAAAGGAAGTGAAAGACAAGGAAAGCAGGAATTAAAAAGAAGATGAATAAAAATATACAGGTGATACCTAAATTAACATTAATTAAAAATGATACTTCAAACTTCTCAGTACCCTCACTTCTCAATAAGCATCCTCTTCCACTAATGATTATTTTACAAAGGGGGAGCAAGCACCTCCAGACACTTTACTAATTTGAGACTTTTATTCAAAAAGGAAGTTCAGGAAAATATTGCTAAAATTCCAAGAGAATCTAATCTATAAATGCACTTTTAAAAGTTGGGAAATAATGGTAAATTAGCATAAGTGAATAGGTTCTCAGACAAATATTTCTTTGTTAAATTTTGATAAATATTATTAATGTGGAATATCAGTTGAAGGGCTTTCTAGTACTTAGTTGCTGTTATTTTCAAAGGTGTGTTCTTATAATTGCAGAAATACATCACAGCTTAGAATTATATAATTAAACATTTTCAAAAAAATTGGTTAAATATTACATGAATATTGATAAATATTTCTCAGTTCTACACAATTTCAAATATTCAATTCTTATTTGGCATTCAAGGTGTACTTTTTGATTAAATTAATTTTTAAAAGTCACTAGACCTCTGGGAAGAAAAATGTTTCAAACCCATTTGAAAGCATCAAGAAGCTGTCATATTCTACTTCCCTCTTTTCATGAAGTCTTTAGACCTGAGATTCCTGTGTTCAAGAAAAAAGGAGGGCCCTGAGATCAGAAAGCAATGGAGCAGAACTCTCAGGGATCAAATATAACTCTCTTGCTTTATCTGACTTAGAGTCACTTCACTCCTTCATGGAGATTCCAAGATTGGGTATGAGCTGATAAAAAAAAAAGGTTTTATTGCTGTAGATGTTAGCTGCAAAAAAATTCTAATATTTAAATATAAAGGTATTTGGCTGTCTAGAGTACAAGTACAAAGTGAACTTAAAATGGTTTCTCTAAAAGTCTATTTGAGAATTTTATGGTATACTCCCAAATATTAACTAGTTTAATGAACTTGAAGAGTTTTTTTTAAAATTTCAAGTCCACCACTACAAAATAAATAGCATATGTTATTCATAGGAAAACAATTCTATAAATGATATTTCTTCACAAGGCATCTAAATTTGTATTAATTTGAATATGCCTAAAATCATAGCAAAAGAAAGTACCCTATATAACACCTGCATTTTAAAAAGGAAACAATTTTCAAGGAGTTCAAACATACTATCTTATTGTGCAAATGTCACTGAAAAGGACAGTACGTTATATAGTGAAAAAGCAAACTATAAAATAATTGATGAAGCCCGCCTTAGCGATTAATATTTTATCTTATTTTAAAATATTGCATACCATAGCATACCATTAGCTTATTTAATTTTTTTCTATCCGTCAGAAATTTAATTTTAAAAATTTAACAGGAAAAATATGATGAATTAAAGATGTTTTCTTTGAATTACTAAAATTAAATTTTAATTAGTAATAATTCTACCAGCACAATAATGCCTGGTATACAATATTCAAAGCATCAGTTAAGTAGCCTGAAAGGTACATAATTTTTACTAAGTTCTATTTTTAAGTGATAAAGACTAAATGTCTAAGAGGTAAAAAAAATATTTTAAACTAGATTTTATCTTCTTAGACGCAAGAGGCAAGTATATAACCAGAAATTTGAAATGAATAGATTGGCTCCATTTGCAGTAGTATAATAACTAAATGTAAACAATCCTACCTTCCATTGCCCTTTTAAAGAAGACCTTACAGCTTCCACAGGTAAGGACTCCATAGTGACAACCAGAAGCTTCATCCCCACAGATTAAACAAATCTTCTGAGGTAATGATTCGAAACCATATTGAGGACTCTGGCTGGCTTCTGTATCTGGCCTTTGAATTAAATAAAAAGTATGATGATATTTTCAATATTCAACAATAAACTCTTTTAAAACCATGAATTTAGTGTTAATTTTTAAAAACAGAACAAAAGTTTGATGATTCCAAATCAAAATTTAACTAATTTAAAATGTACTGATGAAGAGTTTCAAATTTCCTTGTCTTTATCAACTTCATAAATAAGTCTATTCATTTGTAACATTCTTCATAGGCACAAACTTATTAGCCAGACTCAGTAGCACCCAGTTAGGTCAAAAAATTAGTAAAGATATGATGCCAGGGAAAGGCAATGTCCATAGCAGAAATGAATTATTTCCTCTAAACTCTGAAGTTAAAAGCTGTCAACTGAAATGCTGGCCTGCTTTTTTTTTTTTTTTTTAATGAGGGGTAAAATACTTTTCAATCATCCCCTCCGGTCTAAATTAAGAATTCCTTGAAATGTGCGCTTTCCTTTACCCCTGGAGCAACTAGATGTTTACCTATAGAATACTTAAAGGAAAAGACAAATAGATTTTACTATGTACACACCTGCACCTGTCTAAGCAACCGACTGATAAAAATACAAAAAAAGGTATCGCTTTTAATCAAGCCCAGCTTGATTTGAGAATTGAGAATCTTTGTGGTTTTGTTTGACAAGTATAAATAAGCTACTAGTTGTCACTTCTGAGGCAGCATAAGGGTATAGCAGTGCATTAACTGCCATGCAAAATGCTCGATACAAAGTTTTATCTTCAAGAAAGGTAATTTTATATTTTTAGGATCCGTTGGAAAACTAAGTGCTCTTTTAGCATAAGTTTGTTGTGCTTTCGTTTCTTCTGGTGTGCTGCTCTTCGCGCCACGCTATCTTGATTCTAAGTGGAAACTGAAAATTCCGAAGTTTAAAACAACAACGAAAACGACAGCCCTCGCCATTTCTCTTCTTTCCTTCAAATCACTCTAGCCGCTTCCGCCCTTTGCCACTCAGATTTGACCCAGCGAGACTGACGCCGCACTTTTTTCGAAGGGCGGTGGGGCCCGCAGGATCTAGCTGAGCTCCAAAGTTTTACCAAGGGCTTTCGGGACCCCCAGGTACCCTCAGCGCCTTCCTCGAGGCTAACCTCGAAACGCCAGATGGGGAAGAAGGGAAGGTGGGAAGGAGAAAGAAGGAAGAAAAATGTAATCTCTTCCCTCCCTCTCCCAGGCCCATCCTCCAGAACAGCTCCTACACCCTCACTTGCAATGAGGTGCGAGGCGCAACCGTTACGACCGTTATCTTCTCCGAACGTTCTATGTGGAATCACAGAATGCCAGCCTCATCCTCCTAACACCCCCCCATTCCCCTCCACTTTTTTCCCCTCCCCCTCGGGGACCCGGATTCTGGGCCGTTACGGCAGGCAGGCTCCCAGCCCCCCGCCTGCACCTCCTCTGCCCCACTCACCTCAGGTAGTTCAGATAGGAGGGGTAGACCTGCGGCAAGCCCTCCTTCAGAACGGCCGCTTGGTAGCCCAGCTGCGGGAGCCCGTTCAGCCCGAGCGGCTGGTAGAGTGCTGAGGCCCCGCCGGCGGCGGCCGAGGCCGAGGTGGAGGGCAGGCTGTCCCGCGGCAGGAGGCAGCCGGCTCCGCTTGGCCCTTTGCAGTGCAGCGGCCCGAAGGGGCCGGGCTGAGGCGGCGCCGACTCGGCTTTGTAAAGGATGCACTCGAGGGTGGAGAGCGAGGCTGCGGCGGCGGCGGGCGCGGAGGAGGACGACGACGACGAGGAGGAGGACGAGGAAGAAGCGTTGGCTGGGGCTGCAGACAAGTCCCCTGGTCTTGACGAAGGCGCCCGGGGCGGGGGAGGAGGCGGCGGCAGCTGGGGTCCCTGGGCGAAGTCGGGGCCGACGGCCGGGTTGGGGCCGGGCACCAGGTAAGAGCGCGGGGAGGGGGCTGCACCGTCCCCACCTTCCTCCTCCTTGATCTTCAGCGTCGGCGGCTGGAAGTCTCCGTACAGTGGGTAAGTGTCTTCCTTGGGCTCGGCGTCCGTCTGGAAGGCGCAGTCGGGGAAGTCGCTGCCTGCTCCCGGGATGGACGAGGAAGCGGGCGAGTCCCGGGGCTGCGTGAAGGCTCCGGAGCCGCCCTCGTAGCCTTCCACCTCCAGCAGGTGCCGGGTGCGGGCCGCCAGGAAGGCTGGGTTGATTGGCAGGATGGGCAGGTGGATGAAGTCCATCAGCGAGGTGGCCAGCGGGGAGCGACCCGGGGCCGTCAACTGGTCCTGCTCGGCCGCAGGGCCGGCCCTGGGCCCTGAGAAGCGGGGATCGTCCTTAGGCACCGGGGGGACACCTCCCGCGGAAGGCAGGGTCGGGGCCGTAGCCACCGCCGCCCCGACGCCGCCGCCTGCTAAGGTCCTGGATCTGCCCTTGGGGAGGTGCCCCGCCGAGCTCTCGGGCCCATCCTCGGCCCGCGGCAGCGGCAGCTTAGCTGCTGCCTCAGGCCACTGGGGGCTGGCAGCCAGCAGCGGCCGGGACGGAGGCGGTTCCCCTGGAGGGACCTTGTGCGAGGCAGCAGCACCAGAGACTTCTCCCTCCTTGACCGGCAGCCGGTTCATGAGCCGCGGCAGCGCCCCCTGGGATGAGGTGGCTGCCCCAGGGTCTTCAGGGAGCTCGGTGCCAAAGAGGCACCAGGGGGTGGCGACGCAGGCGGGGGGGCTGGCGTGACCGTGTCCTGGCCCCGGGGGCGCCAGCAGCGTGTCCAGGACACTGTCCAGCAGCCCGCTGTCCTTATCTGGGGGTCGGACGCTGCCAGTTCTTCCTCCTCCACCTGATCCTGCTCCTACTACGGGATATGCGCCGTCCACCTCGGGCAGCGCCTGCTCGCCATCCCCCTTCCCGTCCGGCGGCTCCTCTTCGTCGCTGCTTCTGGTGAAGAGCAATCCATCCAGGGAGATGGGGAGCGCCGTAACCACCGCAGAGGTTTCCGAGTTCTGGACGGATTGGAAAGGGTCGGAGTCCGGGTGACCCAAAAGGGGGGATTCAACCTCGGAGGGGGAAGGTGCACCATCCACCACGTGGGGAGTCCGGGGATCCTTTGCCTTCAGCTCTGTCATGACGACCCGGACACCCCCTCCTCTCCTCCGCCCTCGTCCTCAGGGAGGAGGGAATAGAAAGGAGAAGGGGGGGAGAGATGTCCAAAAGGAAGGGGAGAGGAAAAAAAAGTTCACTTTGGCTAAGCCCAGGGGATGGTCAGTTTTCTAGGCTTAAAAAAGGCGGAAGCTTGTCACTCTTAACACTGATCCTCCATCCTCTGGGAAGGGGTGGAGGCTGGCTGTTTTTCCCAGGTTTGTAGATTGGGGGGGGAGTTAAAGGGAGGACGAGAGAGTAATTGTGGGGATATCTTTTTGTTAACGTGGTTCCAGCGGAGAGAACTCAGGCTGCTCCTCTTTTTGCCAGTAGGAATTCTGGCGCAATTGGTCGACTCACAACTCTACCACTGAGACTGGGCAAATCGTTAGACTCTCTGGGATGTCTCCCTTCCTCGGCTGCAAAGCCCATCCAAACCCAAGCCACTGAACCTAAGACAGAACTCCGTTTTTCTCCCAGCTTCGTTTTGTACATCAAGTCCTGGTGCGAGTCAAAACTGGCTGCAGCAGGATAGCCCAAGGACTTAAAGAAATATTCGCCTCCACCCCCTCAGTGTCTTCTAGGTGCTCCTTTTTTTCCGGTCCCTCTGAATTAAGAGCAGAAGAGACTTTCCAGCTTTAAACTCCGAGGAGCCCCAGTCTTTTCAGCTACTGCATATCGTCCAAACACTTAGGGTGAATAGTAGCAGGAGCTTCACTGAATTGTGTTCGCTGCTCCTTAGTTGAAATCCCTCTCAACAGTACAGAGTGACTGGAGTATGTGCTGCCCCACACTGAAGTCCTCTCACACGGGGTAGAAAGAAGCTGGAATCCTATCAACCTGGAGTAGCTCCAGTCTTCCGATCGGTTTCAACCACCGGTCTCACTCTGTCTGGCCCCGCCTAAGGCCCTTCCCCCCGGCCAATTATGGGAGAGCTCACTGTCTCTCCATTCGTACCCAGACATCTCACAGAGCCTGAGAAACGAGGTATTATCTTCACCCAGAGGAGTCGGATGAGCAAGTAACAATGTGTAAAAGATAGAATCTTTACAGATATCTGGTCCGATGTGCTGACAAATAATTTCCCTTTTCCTTAAAAATCATAACAAGGATACTGTCAGATGTTGCAACAACTTCTCTTGAATCTCAGAAATTATACCACTATGACATAGACACAAATATTTGCAAGTTATAGAGTAATATATTAGGAATTTACAGTACTGGACAGAAAACTCTGCTTAGGGTTCTTAATTGAGGGCTCTTTGTCTTAAAATTTAAAATTTCCTTCCCCACCCACACTAAAGTTTTTATAAAGCTGGACCATTTCCAGATCTCCTTTATCTGGAGCAGCATGGTATCCTCTCCCTAATGCTCATTCTCTGTGCAAGGGGAGAAGAGGAAAAGGAAGTGGCAGTGGAATTTGGAAGTGGAAGCTAAATAATGTTATCTTCTCTTTTAGCCCTATTTCCTCATTTGTAATATTGGGAGTATAACACAAACTATTGATATCAAAAGGGAATTGTAGGGAAATTGTGTTGTTAACTATAAAGCAATGTATATGTAAAGAATCCTTTTTGTCATCCTAATTTTGCACAAGAAGTTTAAATTCTAGTTGTCATGCTTCTGTTTTTTCTGTCCTTAATACATTCCAAAATTTCAGTCTGTACTTTCAAGAAATTTTGTCTTTATGTCCAATCTTTGCTTTGCCATGCTAGTCATCCTGGGCTTTTCCCTTTGCCATGCCCCACAAATCCACTCAGCTTTCAAGTTTTATTCCCTCCACCTCTACAATCTACTTTTCATCTTCAGTTTTGCTCCACTCACATACCTTTTAGTTGAAGCCCTTATCAATCTTTTGACTGGATTGTGTCCAATCAGCTTCCAAATTGGACTCCCAACCTTTGATCTCTCCTCTCTCTCAATCCTTCTTCCATGCAGCTGCTCAGTTGACTTCAGTACAGATCTGACTATGTCACTCTCCAGTTATTGCCTCTCCCCTCTAGGATAAAATATAAACTATTGTTTGGCTTTTAAAGATCCCGGTGATCTGGATGCAGCCTTCCTTTCCAGACTACTTGGTACTGGCTAAGAAATAGAGTGGTAGATCAGTGGAATAGGTTAGGTACGCAAGATACAGTAGTCAATTACTGTAGTAATCTACTCTTTGATAAACCCAAAGACCCCAGCTTCTGGGATAAGAACTCACTATTTGACAAAAACTGCTGGGAAAACTGGAAAAGAGTATGGCAAAAACTAGGCATAGACCAAGATCTCACACCCTATACCAAGATAAGGTTGCAATGGGTACATGATTTAGACATAAGGGATGATACCATAAGCAAAGTAGGAGAGCAAGGAATAGTTTACCTGTCAGATCTATGGAGAAGGGAAGAGTTGATGACCAAACAAGAGATAGAAAACATTATGAAATGCAAAATGGATAATTTTGATTATATTAAATTGAAAAGTTTTTGCACAAACAAAACCAATGCAACCAAGATTAGGAGGGAAACAGAAAACTGGGAAAGAATTTTTACAACCAGTGTTTCTGATAAAGGTTCATTTCTAAAATATATAGAGAACTAGTCAATTTATCAGCATGCAAGTCATTCCCAATTGATAAATGGTCAAAGGATATAAACAGGTACTTTTCAGAGGAAGAGATTAAAGCTATCTATAGTCATATGAAAAAAAATGCTCTAAATCACTATCGATTAGAGAAATGCAAATCAAAACAACTCTGAGGTACCACATCATACCTATCAGATTGGCTAACATGACAAAACAGGACAATGATAAATGTTGGAGAAGATGTGGGAAAATTGGAACACTAATGCATTGTTAGTGGAGTTGTGAACTGATCTAGCTATTTTGGTAAGCAATTTGAAACTATGCCCAAACGGCTATAATGTGCATACCCTTTGACCCAGCAATGACATTTCTAGGGCTGTATTCCAAAGAGATCATAAAAATGGGGAAAAGGACCCACACGTACAAAAATATTTCTAGCAGCTCTTTCAGTGGTGGCAAACAATTGGAAATTGAGAGGATGCCTATCAATTGTGGAATGACTGAACAAGTTTTGGTATATGAATGTAATAAAATACTATTGTGCTATAAGAAATGATGAGCAAATGGACTTCAGAAAGACTCCTATGGACTGATGCTGAGAGAAGTGAGCAGAACCAGGAGAACATTGTATACATTAACTGCCATGTTGTTGGATGATTAACTTTGATAGACTTAGCCCTTCTCAGCAATGAAAGGATCTAAGACATCTCCAAAAGTCTCATGATGGAAAATGTTATCCACATCCAGAGAAGGAACTATGTAGTTTGAATGCAGATTGAAGCGTACTATTTTTTGGTCTTTTTTTTGTTTCTTCTGTTTTGTTTCTTCTCTCTTGTAGTTCTTCCTATCAGTTCTAATTCTTCTTTACACTATGACTAATGTGAGAATATATTTAATAGGAATGTATATGTAGAGCCTATATCAGATTGCATGCCATCTTGAGGAAGGAGGCAGGGAAGGAGGGGGAGAAAATTGGAAACTCAAAAGCTTATGGAAGTGAATGTTGAAAACTAAAAATAAATTAATTTTAAAAATAAAAACTTTGCAACAGCCCCAAAGATAATATTTTTCTAATACTAAAATAAATAGCTGCTAGATTACATATTGACTTATATTCCTTGTCCTATATTCTAGGACACAGGGTTTATTTACGATGTTATTAGAGACTCATTTAATTATTTTTTTCTAAGGTATTGATGAAAATGAAATGAAAAATTGCTATTTTACACCTGCTTTATACTGTGTATTTTACTTTTGAAGACATAGTTGGTTGAGCAAGTATGTTGGTTAAAATGAACAAACTCCTTTTAGTATGGAACACAGGCTGTATGTGACTTTTTATTTTGATGATATCTTTGAAGCAAGTAAACACAAAAATGCAGAGACATAAAGAGAAATAATGGAACAAATTTTAAAAACAACAAAATTAAAGGGTTTAAGTTTAACATGGTAAACAAAGGAAGCTCTTAAAATGGTTTTATACATTTAATTTATACATTCAACTAAGATAAGAATATTGCACTTGAAGCTAGTTTGAAACTAGCTTCAAATTTAAATCTTTAAATTTAATCTGTCCCTTCTAATTGCTGCTCCTATTGAGCAAATTAGGGGAAAAAAACTTGTGAAAAATAAAACTTTTAACATATGGCTACATAGTCCAGTAAAACAAATCCCTACATTGGCCATGTCTGAAAATGTATATCTCTCTCTGCATGTCAGAAGGTGAGTGGTCTGTATTTCATCTTCATTCTTTTGGATATGTGGTCTGTCATTTTGTTGATCAGAGTTATAAAGTCTTCCAAAATTATTTATCTGTATAATGATATCACTGTATGAATTGTTCTCCTAGCTGTGCTTTCTTAACTGTGCTTCAGCTCATGGAGGTCTTCTCAGTTTCCTTTGTAACTGTCCATTTCATTTTTTTTATGGCAAAATAATAATCTATTACATTAATATACCATAATTTATTTACAACAAGATTCTCCTAAGTTTCTAATTTATGGCCACCACAAAAATTGCTGTAAATACATTTATACATATCATACATTTTCCTCCTGTTCTTTGTTATTTTTGAGGATATAGGCCTAGTAGCTGGGTCAAAAGTTTTGCACACTTAGGAACTTTGGGAGCATAGGTCCAAATTCCACACTGGCTCATATAATTAACATCACCATTAATAGTGCACTAGTGACCTATTTTCTTACAGCCACTCCCCAGTTTATAAATAATTTTCCTCTTTTGTCATCTTTTAGGGTCTGATAGGTACGAAGTAGAACCTCAAAGTTTCTTTGAATTCATTTCTTTAATTACTGGTGACAGAGCATTTTTTTCCATGTTTGTTTCATTTCTTCCTTTGAAATTTCTTGTTCATATCCATTGATCTTTTGTCAACTGGATGCTTTTAGTCTTCTAGTCTTGAATCAGTTCCATACATGTTTTGGATAAAAGATCTCTAACAAAACTTGCAGCAAAGATTTTTTCCCCCAGTTACCAGTTTCATCTGATTTTGACTACAGCTGTTAATAATAATTGCTGCCATTTATATCATTTGTATTATGTGTCAGGCACTGTGATAAACACTATACAAATATCTCACTTTATCCTCACAATTACTTTGGGAAATAGATGCTATTATTGACCCCATTTTTTCAGTTGAAGAAAACAGGGTTATATAGCTAGCAGGTATCTGAGGTAGAATTTAACTCAGATCTTCCTGACTCTAGGCCCAGTACTCTATCCATCATGCCATCTAGCTAACACAACATTAGATTTGTTTGTTCAAAACTTTTAAAATTTTATATCATCAAAATTGTCCATTTTGTTTTAATCATGAACTCTTCCATATCTACAGATCCAAAAGATAATGTCTTCCTTGTTCCTCTAAATTTTTAAATAATGTTTAGTCATGTCTTACTCTTCATGATCCCATTTGGGGTTTTCCTGGCAAAGATATTGGAGTGGTTTGCCATTTCCTTTTCCAGCTCATTAACAGATAAGGAAACTGAGGTAAACAGGGTTAAGTAACTTGCCTAGTCCAGATTTGAACTCACAAAGAAGTCTTCATGACTCCAGGACTGTTAGTCTATCCACTGTGCCACCTAGCTGTTCTTTTTATAATGTGGCCTTGTATATCTTGGTCATGTATTCATTTGGAACTTATATTGGTATATGGTATGAGGTGTTGGCTAGAGGAAAAAAAAAAGTCCTGTAAAGCTAAGCCTAAACATCAAAGTAAATAACTGGATGTTCAATAAAAGGGAAGAACTCAAGTTGTTCCTTCAAAAAAAAAAAAAACTCAGAGACGAGCAAGAGACTGAAGATGCAATGGAAAAAATGGCAGGGAATTAAATTCTGTGTGTGTGTGTGTGTGTGTGTGTGTGTGTGTGTGTGTGTGTGTGTGTGTGGCATTTGAGGTTAAGTGACTTGCCCAGAGTCACACAGCTAGTGAATGTTATGTGTCTGAGGCCAAATTTGAACTCAGGACCTCCTGACTCCAGGACTGGTGCTTTATGCACTGCGCCACCTAGCTGCCCCCAGGGAGTTAAATTCTGTTAGATAATAATAAAGATTATAGAAATAAAATGTTTGTTTTCATATGTATTGGGCTAGAAGATGACATGAATGTGGGTGGGGCATGGATTTTTGCTTGTTTGATTTTCTTTAATAAAAAAAAATAAACTCAACACTGAGTGGCTATGAAAAGGCAAAACCAGCATCAATGAACTAAAGAATCTTAGGAGTAAAAGATATAAAAATGGGAAGGAAGTAAATATTTAAAGGAAAACTCATTTCATTATGAATACCATATGTGGTAATGTAATTCAAAGGAATGACTTTTCATTGGGCAGGAGATGGAGTGAATCAGGGAGCCCCAGGTAATGATTTTTGGGAATTCAAAATGAGAGGTAGATGAGAGGATT